CCTGCACCACCACCCCCTCCTCGCTTCCCCCCCTCGCCTCCCCCTCCTTGCCACCCTCCTTCGCCACCCCCGCGGCCCCCTCCTCCTCGTCCCCCCTACTCCTCCCTCTCCCCCTCCCCTTCCCCCTCCCTCCTCCCCTCCCCTCTACCCCCCCTCGCCGCCGCGTCCCCTATTCACCCCCCCCATCTTCATTACCTTCTTCTGACGCTCCTTTCGAATCTCCTCCACCCCCCTCACTTCGCTCCGAACCTTGTCCCCCGGTCCGGATCGCCCCCCACCCCTACCCCCGCCCCCCCGGCCGCGACCACTCCCGCTGTGACCGCCCCGCCCGCTCGCTGCAACGGAAAATGAACATCGGTCAACAGTGCCATGTCTAGCAAGATATACCAAAAACGTCGTCACAGAAGAGTGAATGAATGCTCTTCACGGCTCGATAGACTGACTGATCACTTCGAGTGCCGAACTCCTCGCGTTGGAGGTGTCGAAAAGGAACAAGAAGTGCAACAATCGGTCCAGTGGTTCGTCTTTGGCATGCATATCAGCGGCGAGAGCTTTTCCCCTTTCCGTACGGGGAAAACCCTGTCAATGGGAAATGAAAATTTTCCCGTTTCAAAGACCCTGCAAACCGTCCACATTAACGGCTTGTCCCCTACTATGACAGATTCCACGAGGTGCGCACTTCAATTTTACTCTCGAAATGTACTTTGAAACCCCAAAACCCCATCCTCAAGGGGACTCGTAAACCCCAAAATCCCAGTGGTGCGCACCCTCACCTGCAGGGCGGTCCTCCCCCTCCTTCCGGGCGGTCGCCACCTTCATATACGGCTGCCGACTCGACACCGATACTTCAAACCGACTCAAAACCCCAAAATTTACCTCCAAACCCACATCGAAATCCCTAAAAAAGCCGATGCAAACCCTCACCTGCGGGGCGGTTCTCCCCCTCCTCCCCGGCGGTCGCCACCTTCATATGCGTCCGCGCCTGCCACTTCTTATACAGCCCCTTCTGCCGCTGCCCCGCGTTCACGCGCGCGCCGCTCTCCGACTTCACCTTCCCGGAGCCCGTTAACATCTCCCCCGGCTGCAGTCGAATGTACTTCTTCTTCTTGCCAGTGCGGTCCCAGTGGTAAGTCGCGCGCTTTTTGGTGATTCCCGCCTCGTCGTCGGGAACTAGATCGAGGATTGCGGAGTCCATCGTGCCCTGGTCGAAGTCGGACGCGCCGCGGGTGCCGCTGCCGCCGGCGACCGACAGCTGCTGCTCCGCAAATTGCGAAGAAGAACAGACCGCGTCAAAGTTCATCGAGCCGCCCACAAACTGGCCTAAAATAGAGATCAGTGGAACCTGCTGACAGGTACACTTACTGTGGGTCAGTGGCAAACTGCAGGGAAAACGTATCGGGTCAGAAAGATCGAAGGCCACGAAGAGCAAACCCAAAACGAGAATCCAGCCCTGATGAATGTACTGTATCCAGATAATTGTAGTGCACACAAACTCCACCCAAAAAAGCCTAGTCCCCAATGGAAAAGTGCGCATACATAGGAGTGCAGACCACGGTCATGAAGATAGAGAAGGGATGTGACGATCGACTTGTAAGCTAGGGTGAGACAATAGGATTCTCTGTAAGACACTTGGGCGCTCGCAGCGATCAGAGGGAGTGCGCTCTTGACAAGAAATCCTCGCAAATCTCAGCAACGTTGCCACGCATACTGAAGCGGCGCTGAACAG